GTAATTTGCTTCTCAGGAGTAAATAAATGAAGAAGCAGTGCTCTAAGAAAACAGAGGGCTTAGAGCAATTTTTGTCAGGCTGGTGCTGGAGTTTGAATGTATCACCTCCAAAATTCAAGAGTTGCCAGTATGATGGTATTAAGAGGTAGAGACTTCAAGAAGTAATTAGGTCCTGAGGGCTCCTCTCACATGATCAGGTTTAGGGGCCCCTATAAAGCGGTGCCTTCTAACCTGTGAGGATGTATCAAGAAGACCTGTACCGCCTGGTTGTGGACTTCCCATCTCCAGAACTGTGAGAAATAAATTTTGTTCTTCCCAAATTACCCAAATCTCCATTATTCTGTTATGGCAGCACAAAGTGGACTAAGATGCTTGGTGGTTTAGTTCAACCTGCAGAATGTGGAGTAGGTTCTACATAGCAGGGCTCACAACAGCCCAGTGCTTCTCACAGTAGCTCTATCATTGACCTGAACGGCCTTCTAGAAGCATTAGGTATATTCATATCAGTGAATTAGAATCCTAAATACAAATGCAAATATGTTTTCAGAGTATTCAATTTATATTTCTCTTCTGCCCTCTGTTGTGATAGGTAATAAAGGTTTTAGTTTCTAAAATGCCAGGGGCTGAGCATGATGGCAAACACCGGTAATCCCAACTATTTTGGAGGCAGTAATTGGGAGGATCATAATTCAAGGTCAGCCCAGGTGGAGAAGTTAGTAAGACCCCGTCTCAACTAACAAGCTGGGCATGGTGGTTTGTACCTGTAATATCAGCTATGCAGGAGGCACAGATAGGAGGATTCTGCTCTGAGGTCAGCCCAGAGCAAAAACATGAGACCCTGTCTGAAAGATATCTATAACAAAAAGGAAAAGAGGGGAGGGGCAACTGAGGAGTGCTTTAATTGGTAGAGTGCCTGCCTAGCAAATACAAGGCCCTGAGTTCAAAACTCCAATGCCACCAAAAAGATAATGATAAACTAAAAGTAAAATGCCAGAACCTAATATTGTGAGCAAAAAGGGGGAACCAGGAAGTATCCATACAAGGCAGTGAGTAGAATGAGGAAAAGTATCCCATGTTATAATTAAAGCAAGATTTTAAAAGTTAAAAGCACTTGATGACAAAGGAATTCCAAACACCTTGTACTCATCAAAATTCTCCCTATTTTTATATGCAAAAAGTTTGAAAAAAATGAATGAGTGAAATTAATCTCAATTCAAGCTAATACACAGACTATAACACGTGCATCTGGAGTCAAGTTTTCAAAGTTAACTTGGCCACTTCTTCCATCCCAAGGTGAAATCTGACAGCAAAGACTTTTAAACAATACTGCCACCCCCACCGATCCCATGATTCAGACTTTCTAGGTCGCTAAAGTAGACTATGGTTAATTTTCTAAGCACATTTTCTAGGACCTTAGAGGTTGCTATTTTAAATCTTTTTAACCACTTAGTTTAGTACAATGTTCAGAAATCATTTGCTTAATGAGCAAGTTCAGCTGAGCACATGGCCTCATTCCACTGATAAGGATTTGACAGTATGCAAGGAAACGTGACAGTAATCAAGTGATAAAGCTTTACACATGGAACCCAGTTCTCTGGCTCTCTCACCGTGCTCTGGCCCAATGCTTACACTACCAACTCAAAGTGTGAAACAAAGTGAATTCTGGACTTCATAGTTCACTGCTCTCCCTAGCACCATCTAATATCTCTTAACTAAGGATATGTAAACACAGGGTCATATTAAGGATGGAGATTTGTCATGATGTTAGCAAAATGCAGTATCATTGCTGTATATCATAAAAACTGATTTCTTAAATACATTGATAAGAAACTGGAATTTGGAAAAGGACGTCAATAACCAAATAAATAATTGATAGATAATTGCAAAGTACCTTTGCTATAAAAGATCATAAAGCCTCTGAATAAAAAAATATACTAACCTGTCAAATATCATCATAGGAATTATCACTAGTGTCCATGGAAAACACTCATTTGTAAACTGCTGTCACATTAACCATCCTGCAATGGTTACTTAGGGCATGAAGGTTTATTTCAAGCATGTAAACCTGCTCTCCACATACTCAGAGTAATTCCATCCCTTAAAGCTCAAATTGCTTAAAATCATTATCTACCGTTTTCTGAGTTGTATATTTAGAATTTGACTGAATATTTGTGCTCCCTGCCATCAATGGAATCTTTCAATTCTAAGTTCTAGAATTGAGGATAAAAAGCCTTATCAAGAATGAGGAAAGTGAGAGGCTGTTTTAGAGTTGATAGATTGGAAATCAGAGTTAAAACCTGTCTCTAAAACCCACATGAGAGCATAGTCTAAGTAAAGTAATAGAGTCACAAAGGAGGTTAAATAGAGACTTCTATGACAGAATAAAATATTTGAACTTGACTGAACTGTTGCAAGTAGGATGTTAAAGGGAACAGTTCTACTCAGCATGTATTGGAATAAATGGAAGAAATGGAGTTCAGAAGAGATTCTAGGAAGTACTGGAGTAATGATAGTCTAATGATGACAGAGAGAATGGAACTAAAGTACTAATTGTGAAAAATATTATTAAAAAAATATTTTGAATACCTAAAATCCTGGCCAAAGGGATTCTAGGGCAGAGCCAAGCAAAAGTTACATTGATTCTGCCTGAGAAGCTAAAAGCCCAGAAGAATTACCAGCAGGAAATCTAATAGCAGAGCAGGAAAAGCAGATTGGATAAGGAGGTGATAAGAGGAAGACATCCAGGGAAGATGTCCTCTAACCAGCAGCAACCCCAGAACTGAATATCAGGACCAGATTTAGATCATTGAATGATCTTTTCTTCTGAGGCTCACAAAAGACACTCCTGCTGTCCATTCTCTGAGGGGGAAAAAGTCTTCCAAGAGGACTCAGGGTGGTCTGACAGATTACTTTCTCCTGTCCTGGGCACAGGATTTCCCTCCCACTACTGACAGCAAGAAACAATGGAGTCTACAGCCAGGAATCATCTGTAGAATACTTTTTTCTTTTATATGTAATCTTAACAAAGAGGAGATAGGAAAGATAAAATTGTACAGCAAGCAACCTCATCAACAGAACATTCTGCCTCACCTGTCTTTCTTCTGTGTTCATAATTCCTTCTTCCCTTTCCTCCTCCAGCCATATAATTCCCTTTAACATATATATCACATATGCATCACTATCCATACACTCAGACTCTTAGCAATAGTCTACATCAGCATATAGCATTCAGAACACATTAACAAATGCAACACAATACCTAACATACACCTTCACTGAGAGAAAACTGACCATCGAAAATGGCAGTATTACCAGGCACCAGTGACTCATGCCTATAATCCTAGCTACTCAGAAATCAGGAGGATCGCAATTCAAAGCTAGCCAGAGCAAATAGTTCTCGAGAACCTATCTCAAAAAAAAACCCTTCAGAAAAAAGAGCTGATGGAGTGGCTCAAGGTATAAGACCTGAGTTCAAACTCAGGGCTGAAAAAAAAAAAGAAAAAGAAAGTGGCAGTATTTCTCTGGATGGGCAAAAGAGGAGCATGAGATAAATGAAGGTCAAGGTCATAAAGCAATTCAGTTGGGTATAACTTTTTTTTAAAAAAAAAAGCTAAATGTCATTTACTGAACTATATATTTATTGGAAAATAGTATAATAAAATAGCAAAAAGACCAATATGGCAGCAGTAATGATACCTGACATTCACCAATATCCAGTAACAAGATGGGATGGTGTGAGAGTGATATACTTAGGAAGGCATAGACTCCTAGGAAGAATTCCAAGTAACTGGTTTCGTAGCACCTATGACAGGATATGTTAGTTGGCTTGTATCAACTTGCTACAAAGATAGTACACTAAGCATCCTGTTTAGGTACAACATAGCTAGACCACAACTTTTCATTCCTATTGATGGTCCTCTACCATTGACCTCCAATCTACCTTATGTCCTAACAACTATCTTCCCTTTGGTGCCCACCCTATAACTTAGACATATGGGACCATTCACTCCACAATTTCTCCTTGTGTAACTTTATTTATATTATCTCTTCTATCTTGAATTCATTTTCTGTTCCTTCTATCTCTGTTCACTGAATTCTACTTATTTTTAATTTGGGCCCCATACCAAAAGGTTTTTCTCTTTCTCCCTTGCTCTTTTACCTTTATTCCTCTAAATCTTTTATTCTCTCCTTTCTTTTTTACCCCCGTTATAGCTTCCCAAGCCCTAACAGACTGTAGCCAGTGGCTATGTATCACAAGCCATATGTGCAATAAGCATTCGTTCTACATTTGATAGTAGTCTGTCATTTCATATCAGTGGACTTAAAGAGTGCATTCCATTATCGTTTTATTCTCAAAATAAAAAGTGACATACAGGGTGTGTGCAATCACTTTATTATCATGATCATCAGAGGCACTTCAGTTGATGACCACAAAACATTGAACTTCAGTAAGCACTAGTGCTTGTACTGTCTTTACTCTGGTGATGATTACCTTCTTCCTCCCCAAGCATAGCTCTTGAAACTTTGTCCTTTTGCTAAATCATGATTTGTTCATGTGTATGACTTTTTTATTGTAGTTCCTAGATTACTTTTTGAAATCCTGAAAGGAGGAAGAAACACATAAAGAAGGAAGAGCAGAAATAACATAATCAAGCATTGTTGCCATGTGAAAGATAATAAATTTTATTATCCCAAATCTTACATGTAACATACATATACTAAAAACTTACTTCTTGTTTATTTATTTAAAATTCAAATTTAACTGTGCAGCCTGTACTCTTATTTGCTGAGTCTGGCCACCCAAGGAGATTTTTCCAGCTTTTGTCCTCCTGAACTGGAATAACTACACAAGCAGGGATACAAAATTAATTTGCCTGAGCCACTAGTGGGTGCCATACAAACATGTTTATGACTCTTAGAGTTATAAACAGAAAAAAGAGAAAACTACTCAGTTGCATAAACTCTTAAATGTACACAAGATCCATAATTCGTAACCAAACCTTCGTTGGTGACTGGTCAGGAATGCAGTTTATCCGTTCTGATTCATTTATTACTGGGCACTCAGCAGAACCTGTGGTCTCCGGATCTGGGGATGCAGTTGTCCCAGGGTCTGTAGCCATCCCCAAAACAAACATAAATTGAGCATTAGACAGAATTAACATCAAAGGCATTCACTAGCCCCATAGTGCTCAACACTCCCGCTTATATTAACTGCACTGTTGATTGGGCATTATTCTGACGTCCTCAAAATTTATTCATTTTTCACTGTATAAAGCCTTGTTTTCTTCTTGCTCACTGTGTTTACCTCTTTTATACCCTCGTCATCTCCTTCTACTCCTATAATAAAATATGCACAAGAGAAAGTACTCCATCATTAGATTAGGAGCTCGTTAGTGGGAACCAACCTGATTTTAGTTCTGGGGTCAGCAAACCATGGCCTTCAGGCCAAATTAGGTCAGAGTATTTTTTAAACAAAGTATTGCTGGAATACGGTCTCTTCATTTGGTTACAGCTGATTTCATGCTGCAGTAGCAGTGCTAAGTAGTGATGGCAGAGACTGTATGACCAAGAAAATCTAAACTTTTTACTCTCTGGCCCTCTATACGAAAGTCTGTGGACCCCCAGCAGTAGGGGTGGATGGAAAACATGTGCAGTACAGGTGCCCTCCTAAACATAGCACCCTCAATTCTGCTTGGTCAGTCAACCATCAACCCTACAGAACACTTCTGAGTGGTCTCCTTCTTCTGTAAGTGTAAAGTCTCATGTGAAAAAAATATAAAAGGAACCCACCAACCTAGAGACTACCTCAGGGCTTGGGAAACTTGATTTCAGATTGAACATCAGTAAGATAGAAAAGGAATGTTTATTGCATTCTAGAATAAAGAAGAGAACTTTCTGTAAGGCCTCTTTAATAAATTAATAATGACATTAAGACAAAACAATGAGGCTTTTAATTTATTTCTCTTCATTAAGCTTTTCAGTTCAAAAGTGGCAGATTAAACAAATTGACACCAGTTTCTGCAGAAAGGTTTTAGTTCCATCTTCAAGAAACTTTAAATTCTAATCTAACTTTCCATAAAAGGTAGAAATAGGTGTAGCTTGGAACTGTGTAAGAGGACCAAAAAAGGTTTTCCTCTGGCCACAGTCTGAGCCTTCATTGTCTGTATCCCCTAAGAAGCTGCTCCTCGGTGAACAAAATAGGAAATCTGGATAACTCTGCACAACCAAGCCCACTTTGGGACATATAATTATTCCATAAATTTGTAATGAAACAATTCAAATAGTTTTTTTAAGGACTAAACTTAGGCCTGAAGTACTTTGATTTTATACTTACTGCCTTTCACATAAACATATTGTGCAATATAACTATTACCAGATTCAAATTATTCAATAAAATTCAGCAACCATATTTCAAATGTTAGCTGTAGAGTTGTTTAATACAGTGTACTAATTAAATTGGGAAGTGAAAGTGTCAGAGCTGAAACCTACAGGGAATATCTATTGACCTGCCACAATTTTAATTAAATGTTCCCCAAAACTTGTATAGCCCACACCTGCACACTCTCATGCACTCAGACCAATAAGTTCTGAAAGCATTGCTTTCCTACCATTCATAGAGGCTTTGCTCTGATAAAAGCCATGTATGGATCCAGAGTTATTTGTTACCTATTGATTCCGTGGAATTGGCTAAAAGCACAATTAGAACAACAGCAATGATAAACACCACAACCAGAAGAATGCTGAGCACAATTTCCAAAGTAGTAAATTTCTTCAACCTTTTTCTTGCCATCTGTAAAAAAAGATAGAAAACATTTTACATTCAGATTTTATTCAACACATAGCTAGCAAAATTTTTATTGGAAAGGCTGGTATGTACACAAAACCCTCCAGGTACCAATTATCTAAATTTTCACCTCACCCCTGTTAGAATAGCCATCATCAAAAACACCATCAACAACAGGTGTTGGCAAGGATGTGGGGAAAATGGAACCCTAATCCACTGCTGGTGGGAATGCAAGCTGGTACAACAGCTGGAAAAAAATCTGGAGACTTCTTAAAAATCTAAACATAGACCTGCCATATGATCCAGCAATCCCACTCCTGGGGATATACCCAAAGGAATGCGACACAGGTTACTCCAGAGGCACCTGCACACCCATGCTTATTGCAGCACTATTCACAATAACCAAGTTATGGAAACAGCCAAGATGCGCCACTACTGATGAATGGATCAAGAAAATGTGGTACTTGTACACAATGGAATTTTACTCCGCCATAAAGAAGAATGAAATCTTATCATTTGCAGGTAAATGGATGGAACTAGAGAACATCATTCTGAGTAAGGTCAGCCAAGCTCAGAAGATCAAAAATCGTATGTTCTCCCTCATATGCGGACTTTAGATCTAGGGCAAATTCAACAATGTGGTTGGACTTGGATCACATGATAAAGGGAGAGCACATTCGATGATATAGAAATAGGCAGAAAACCCAAAACATGATAGCGTTTGATGTCCCCACTTCAGAGGAACTAATACAGAAACCTTAAAGCAACAGAGGTTATTGAGAAGGGGATCAGTAACCAGGGTAAAGATCAGTTAGAGATGAATCAACATGGGTCATAACACATGTACATGAAAGCAATGCTAGGAATATTTCTGTATAGCTATCCTCAACTCAACTAGCAAAAACGCTTTGTCTTCCTTATTAGGCTTGTCTCTTTTCTTCAACAAAACTAGTGATAAAGGCAGAACAGGACCTGCCTGGAACTGAGGGGGGAAGGGGAAAGAGGGAGGGGGATGGGACAGTGGGGAGAAATGACCCAAACAATGTATGCACAAGTGAATAAAAGAATTTAAAAAAATCATCAATTCATGGCCAATTTCATTTTATCTTTATTCCTACTTACTTTTCTCCCTAATCTTAGATTATCTTCAAACAAATCTTAGATTTCATGTATTTCAATCTGAAAGTGTTTAAGTATATTTTTAAAAGATAAGAAAATTTATAGACAAGCAAAATACTATCAACACTCCCATTTTACAATAATTCCTGTCATCATTATACTATATCTAATCAATATTGAAATATACAAAATTATCTGATAAACTTTTATAGTCTGTTCTATCCTCATAAGGATGCAAGTAGGACTGATAAATTATTGATTTATGTGTAAGTCATTTTATTAGAGTGTAGTAATTGTACAAAATAATGGGTTTTGTTATGGCATTTTCCATGCATATAATGTAATTTATATGCATGTAATTTATATGTTGAATATAATTTCATTACTTTCAACACCATTCCCATGATTTTCTCATCCTTCCACTGGTCCCTTTCTTTTTCCCAAATAGTTCCCCTCTGACTTCATGTCATTTTTTTAAATCTAGATTACACATATGACAGAGCACATATGATATTTATCTTTATGAGTCTGGCTGAACATCGATGATCTGCAGTTCCATCCATTTTTCTCTAGTCAATTTTAATCAGTGGAGTTTGTTCTGTAGATGTTCCCCATGGTGTGAATTTTGTTAATTGCATTTGTGTGTATACTAACATGTTTCTCTATTCTTGCATTTTCTGTAAATTAATTATTGGGTCTGATTTTGATCATATTCAAGTTTGAATTTTCAGTGATGATGCATAAGATGATAGAGCATCTTCCAGCAGACATGAAATATGTTGATTCACTTTTCTCAGGTGTAAACAGCCATTGGTATTTCTTAGATTCTTTATTTAATCAGGAATGATGAAATAGTAATTATGTAATTCTTTCATCTTCTCTTTGTTAGTAGAAACATTTCTACAGACAGAAATTTTTCCCTTATATATAATTCAGCACATAAAGATGCAATTCACGAGGGCATGGTGGGATACACATTTGACTCTTTATTTGCTCAGTTTCAAAATAAGTTGTTTTCCTAACATCTTCCAAAGGGGACCAATTAAGTTGCCATTTTGTTTTTAAACACCTTTCTAAAATCAAGGATTTAAAAATATTTGATCTGTAGTAATCTAATAATATTAATTTTCATGTCTATCTATCTTTGCCATTAGGAACCTCTTCAAGTTGACCCTGAGTCCTGTATTGTATGTTCCTAAGAGTCTTTGACAGTTATTTTGCTTTCTGCCATAACATGATATCCATAACGAAATAACATGATCTTTGCTCCAAGTCTAGAATCACACATCTATAAGAAGTCCTTGGTCTTGAACAGGAGTAGTATTTAGAAACCACAGTCTAGATGAGAGATGATGAAATTAAGCTAGAATTCTAGAACTAAAGTCACCCTATATATCATCTTGGCCAGTAATTGCCTTTTAAGGTCCCCCAAGGCATCCTTAAAGATTTGAAATTTCAAAAAAGTGTACAGGAATTACACATTTGTCTGTTGCTATGGTTTGAATCTTTATGCCTCTCCAAATTCATGGCTCAAGTACTATAGTACTTGCCTAGCAAGCACAAGGCCCTGAGTTCAATCTCACATGACTTAAAAAAAAAAATTCACATGTTAGGACCTAATACTCAATGTGGCAGTATTAAAAGGTGAAAGGTGGAGTGCCTGTCGTGAGAGATCTGTCCTCATGCCACTCAGTGTTTTGGTGACTGGGCTGATGCACACTGTTAACCACTGTCCTTATCAGCGTGTTCTGAGATGACCCCCTTATCTACTAACTGCTTTATGGCCTCACGTGTTAGGTGGATGTACATTACCTGGGAGTCAGGTGCAGAGGCAAGGAAGAAGATCCCTGAACACAGTCTTGCTCCCTCAAGGCCTACCACTTTCCAGTTTACCTTATAAATCACAGTCTCTTTATTTAAAAAGAACCTGCCCTCCCTTCTTCCCTCAGGCCTTAGTTTATGACTCCTGAACTTAGAAATTGTTTACGTCCTTGTATCCTTGTTTTCCATTCTGTCAAATGTTTCCTCACATATTCTCCTCCACCAAGAGAAACTTTCTTCAGTTCTTTGCCCAAAGATTAGATGACAAGAGGATTTGTTTCTCATATATTGATAAGAAACTGCCATTAGGCATCATAATTCACTCTCACTGTGCAGAATGAAATGGAACTGAGGAACTTTTCCCTATGAAACTACTTCCTTGTGCTTTTCTAGAATAAATGGCTCCCACTCTAGTCTTTCTTAACTAGTGTCTCCAATGCCTCACATTCTCAATAGTTTTATAGGACAATTCGAAATATTAATCTTGCTTATAAAATTCCTTAAAAATTAATAATCTTCCATGCTTGATATAGCTAAAATTAACCAATAAGGCATAGAGTGATCTTAATGTTTAGTGAAAAGGAGAGGAGTGATTGGAATGCCCATCCAAATTACTAGGTAGTTGTGAAGTGGGAGGTTATTCTTTACACTAATACTTCGTGTTTCTAAGTGTCTGTGAACATTGCTAGACACGATGAGGAAATATCCACATATTGTTGGTCAAACTGTAAACCTCATGAACTCTCTGTAAACACTCCAGGAACTCTTGGCAAAAACAATTAAAGTACTAAACGCCATGGTCCACAATTCCATTTATAAAAATTTACTCCATGAAAACACTTGTACATTTGCAAATTGTTATATACACAGTTTTTTTTAATCTAGAACAATATGTAACAATAAAATTTGAGGACAACGTACATATCCATGGTGAGGGGAGCTGAGTAAATAAGTAAAACAAAATAAAATTCAGTATTACTCAAAATCATGATGTAACAAGGTTTTTTAAGTCTCCAAGCTTTGATATTCTTCTCTTCAAGAAGTGGGGCCTTTGGATCTTTGAGGGTGGGCTGGACTTAATTTTAACAAATAGAATACATCAGAAAGGATCATGTCTGACTTCCAAGATTAGTTTAAAAAAGACACTGCAGGTTCTTCCTCTCTTTCTTTTGGATCATTTCTAGAAGAAACCAGCTGCCATGACATCAAAACACTCAGGCAGGCCTATGGAAAGGCCCAACAGCTGACAAAAAACTGAGGCCTTCTGCCAACAGCCACCTCAATGAACATCTTGAAAGGAGCTCCTCCATCCCAGCCTTCACTGCTCCACAGTCCTGGCCACGTCTGGACCCTGGGAACCTTATGAGTGACCCTCTGCCATATTTCTGATCCACAGAAGCTGATAATAAATTTTGTTGTTCTAAGCCACAAAATTTTAGAGTAATTTGCTACCCAGCAATAGATAACTAATGCACATAGGTAAATAAGACTTTTGAATAAAATGTCATTGGCAGGTTTAAAAAAAATCTGCTTGCCCTTTAGCAAATGGATTCTCGTCTCATACACTCAAGTACAGTTATCTGCTCTATATAGCAATACTATGTATTGTCTAGGTATACAGGAGAAATACTTCCTTAAACCTTAAAAAAAAAAAAAAGCAACAAACTTCCCCAGCATTACCTATTGACCTTACTTTATACATTAAAGGAACCCTGGTAGGAAAGCCCACTTTCTCAAATAGGAATGCAACTTAAGAAAAATTCAGTAGACTTCAAGAAGCCAATGCCCCAGGCAGTATGTGGAAGGCTCCAGCCTCCAGTCTTGCAAAGCATGGGGAAGAGAGGAAGGAATGGCTACGTCGCTCCTAGACCCGGACTCTAAGAAGCTGGTATTCAGCTGCCTTGGCCCAACTTGCAACAGACAGACTAGGTGTCCACAGAAAGGACAGCTGTGCCCTGCTCAGCAGTTCTTCCTGGAACAGCCAGGCCTGGGATCCTGTAATAAGAGCCGCAGTGGGGTAGCCCAGCTGTAGCTCCCTGCAGTCTGGAGACCTTGAAGGCAGGCAC